ACCTTTGAGTCCTCTGCTGCGTCTGCTCTGGTCGCTGAGTTGATAGACTTTGCTGCCCGGTGTCGTCTAGACTACGCCACTAGCCTTGTTGCTGAGTCTGAGTCTGAGTCTGTCTGTCCTCCGTCCGTCGGGGGTGAGTGTGCTCTTGGCACGGACGTCCTTGAGGACAGACAGGAGGAGTTCCAGTGCTTTGCTGCTGCTTTACCCCACCTCGTGTCCATGCTAGTTGCCCCTGAGGGAGACCCGGATGCACCAGACATCCCGACCCCGCGCACTTACGCTGAGGCGATGGCGGGTCCCTACTCCTCTCAGTGGCAGACAGCCATGGACGCAGAGATGGCTTCCTGGAAGTCCACAGGCACCTACGTCGACGAGGTTCCCCCACCTGGGGCGAACATCGTCAGTGGCATGTGGATTTTCAGGGTGAAGCGGCCACCGGGTTCTCCTCCTGTCTTCAAGGCGCGCTACGTGGCTCGAGGCTTCAGTCAGCGAGAGGGAGTTGACTTCTTTCAGACCTTCTCCCCCACCCCGAAGATGACCACTCTTCGGGTGCTGCTGCACATAGCCGCTCAGCGCGACTACGAGCTTCACTCACTTGACTTCAGCACTGCTTTCTTGCAGGGCAGCCTGCACGAGGAGATCTGGCTGCGCCGCCCTCCTGGCTTCACTGGGTCGGTTCCTCCTGGTACCCAGTGGAGGCTTCAGCGGCCGGTCTACGGTCTTCGCCAGGCACCGCGTGAGTGGCACGACACACTGAGGACGACACTTGCGGCTCTTGGGTTCGCTCCCTCTACTGCTGACCCGTCACTGTTTCTACGCACAGACACCTCACTGCCGCCGTTCTACATCCTCGTGTACGTCGACAACTTGGTCTTTGCCACTGCTGACACCGCGGCACTCGCCCACGTGAAGTCGGAGCTGCAGAGGAGACACACGTGCACAGACCTAGGTGAACTGACAAGCTATCTTGGCTTGCGGATCACCCGGGACAGAGCACGGCGCACCATCACCTTGACTCAGTCACACATGGTGCAGCAGATCCTTCAGCGCTTCCGCTTCACGTACTCCTCGCCTCAGTCCACTCCTCTGCCTACCGGTCACTCGCTCTCAGCTCTGCCTTCGGATGAGTCCGTAGAGCCGAGTGGCCCGTATCCAGAGCTTGTGGGCTGCTTCATGTACCTGATGACCTGCACTCGACCTGACCTTGCATACCCTCTTAGCATCCTTGCACGCTATGTCGCTCCTGGCCGTCACAGGAAGGAGCACATGGATGCCGCTAAGAGGGTGTTGCGCTACTTGTGCAGTACGTCGGGCATGGGGCTAGTGCTTGGAGGGCGAGACCGAGTTGTACTTACTGGACACTCAGACGCTTCTTGGGCGGACGACCAGGCTACTCAGCGGTCGTCTCAGGGTTACACCTTCAGCCTTGGCTCCGGCTCAGTTTCTTGGCGTTCTACACGCTCTTCTTCTGTTCTCAGCTCCAGTTGTGAGGCTGAGATCTACGCCACAGCCATGGCTGCCCAGGAGCTACGCTGGCTGACCTACCTGCTGACCGACTTGGGAGAGCGGCCTCGTTCTCCTCCAGTGCTGTACGTCGACAACCAGGCTGCCATTGCCTTGTGTGAGGAGCACAGACTGGAGCACAGAACGAAGCACATCGCCCTGCGGTACTTCCTTGCTCGAGAGCTGCAGCAGCGTGGTCAGCTTCGTTTGCGTTACGTGGCCACTGAGGCCAACCTTGCTGATGTGTTCACCAAGGCGCTTCAGCCTTGTGACCATCAGCGTTTCTGTACTCTTCTAGGCCTTGTGCCTGCTGGACCTCACTTACTTACTTCTTGACTCTGCTTGTACTGTGATCTTTATATATATGCCTGCATGTTTACACTTGCTAGGTTGTGATCACTGTATCTCTTGTTATATTATCAACCTGCATGTGAACTGGTCTTGTGACCACTTGCTTGTGCTCGGAATTTGTGTGGTATCCTTGAGATCCACCCTGAGCTTGTTTTGCTTTGCTTTGACTGGTCTTGTGACCCCTTGCTCTCCCCCACTTTGCCTATGGGGGTGTGTCAAACATTATATATGTTGTGTTTGTTTAGGCTACAGTGGGTTAGCCTATAGGGGGTACACAATTCTAGGGTTAGGTACTTGTACTGATTTCACTGCTAGTTCAATCATTCCTGTCTGTTGATTCCGACAAAGGTGACGAGTCCCTCTAAGCGCATGCTTCCGGTGACCTCCGTGCGACCCCGATCCTGATCCCTTCGTGCGGACAGAGATCGTGTCGCACGTCAGCGTGCTGCCCTGACAGCCTGGAAGTCGCGCGACGATGCGGCATGCATCTCCATCAGCACACGCCTCCCTGAGTCTGAGGAGACCCACTTCACCCAGGTTCGCACTGCTAGTGAGTTCCTGGCTGCAATCAAGGCCCGCTACGCTACTCCCACCACTGTCTCTCTTGGTCGCCTGTTCCTCCCCTTCCTACTTCCTGACCTCGCCTCGTTTGAGCATTCTGCGGACTTGATCGCTCACTTGCGTTCACTGGATTCTAGCTACTGCGCTGCCTGCACTGACGCACAGCTTGCATTGCTCTCCCCCCCCCTTGGCGATTACTATCTATTGCATCGCCTCTAGCCTCCCTTACCGACTTGCCTTGGTTCGTAACGTGCTTCTTTTGAAACACCCTAGCGAGCTCACTATCGGCATTCTTGAGTTTGCCATCAGGGACGTCGAGAGCAACCTTTGCTCGGTAGCCTTCGCCTCTGGTGCTGTGCCCCCGCCAACCGTTCCACGGGTGCACTATCCCTCAGCTACCCACCTTTACTGCCTCCCTCACCACTGCCGCTACTAACGTGACCACAGCTGCTGTTACAACTTCTGCGCAGTCTAGAGCTCGGAGTGGCAGGAGGGGCAGCCAGGGTGCGGGCGGCAGCGGAGGCTGCGGAGTTGGCATTGCGGGCGGCGGTGGTAGGAGTGCAGGAGTTGGTGGAGCTCCTGGGGTCACGTTTAGTGACTCCCCTACTGCGGCTAGTGGAGGTGCCGCTCTGGTTAGTCTGGCACCTGCGAGACTGCCAGCTGCAGGTGCTGGAGTGGCGGCTTGGTACCTGGCTCAGCGACAGCAGTAGCAGCAGTAGCCACTCCTCTCGCAGTGGCCACAACAGCAATAGGGGCTGCAGCAGGGGCAGCAGTAGGGGCCAGGACCGCGTCAACTGTCGCGTGGTAACGCCCACCCTCCCTGCCCCTATATCATTCAAGCAGGTACTCGCAGTGGCTTCCGCTGTGACCGCCGCCACCCACCGGGTCAGTGCTTTGCTCAGCTCACCGCCACTCACGTATTCGGGAAAATATGTCAATGGTAACTTACATGGGGCACTGTAACGCGTACGATAACGATTTCATCGTGTTTGGTAACTCGCTTAACGCGTTTGGTAACTCGCTTAACGCGTTTGGTAACTAGCTTAACACGTTTGGTAACGACACACTAGCAGCACATCACATGTTCGCTCATGCCGTTGCTGTACTTGTACCCATTGGCCAACCTTTGTGCAATCCTTGCTTTCTCGCAACATTGCAATGTAACAAATAATAGATGATATATTGTGATTGCAAACATGAAAAGGCAATGTACTTTGCACAATAGATTATTCAAAATATATTTTCCACCACACGATCGATCATGCAAAATCAATACTTTTTTTGTTAGAATCGGTCCCTTCTTGGCCTTTTCAGAGTTATATATATGTCTGTATACATTTAACTGGTTATACGCACCATTTTCTGAAAGCGAGTGCGCCTGTCGCGTATAGTCTGGCTGGCTGCCGCGCATTCCCCTCGGACTCGTTTCGGACCCTCTCTGCTGTCACGAAGGAACCCAAAGAGCTTCTCCAACACTAATAGCTGACTACTATCGACTTAAACCAAATACCTTCGTCGCTGCTGCTGGGAGTCATTCGTAGTCAACGTGTGACCGCCACGAGTTTAATTGTTGGTGCCGAGCAGTCTTGGTCGTCAGTCGCCGCCCCCTCGTCCATCCAATCGCGCCCATCATGACGTCGGTCGCCACACCCTTACTCGACTCCATCTCGCCGCCCCAACACCATCGCCTAGTCCGAAGGTCCGCGAAATGCACGCTTCCAGGCCCGCTTAGTTTCTGCTCCTCCCCGTCCCTTCCCCTCCCCTCCCCTCTCTCTTCCCCCCCCCCCCCCCCCCACTCCTCCCCCTCCCCCCTTCCCCCTCTCTCCTTCTGCGGCGAAACACGTTACATGATCGGCGAGTCGAGTACGGAGAATAATAGATAAAAAAGTGATTGACCTCTCCCTCGCAACGCATATATTGACGGCCGCTCTCGAGGCTCAATCACATTCTCCCACTGCTCGCTCAATGCGTGCCTTCGTCTCTTCCCTTCTCAATCGCACCTTCTCGTTCGCGCCTTCTCAATCGCGCCTTCTCAGTCGAGCCTTCTCTGTCGCACCTTCTCAGTCGCACCCCATCTCACCTCGTCGCGACTATACCAGCGATGTCAGTCGCGGCGGTTCAACACCGACCTGAACCTTCTCGCCATCCTGCCGACATCGTAATCCCCCGCTTCCCGTTCCCCGTTGGCCAGCCGCCATGAAGCGCTACGGGCGCCTGTCTCGCCTGTCCGGCCTGTCTCGCCTTGGCCTCGCCGCACTCGTCGTGGGTGTCGTTGCCGTCAGCTTCCTCGCGACCCACGCCAGTGCTGTTCAAAGTGAGCAGGCTGACTGCCACATACGGCAGTAGGCGTGTACTAGTGCAGGCGTGGGGATGAGTGTCGGGGTGCGGTTGAGCGCACAATCATAAGAAGATTCTTTCTTGCTTTAGAACCCTTTCCCTGCCATGGTTTTGTGCTGGTGTGTGTGCCTCTTTGCCCCTACTTGAAACAGTCCCTCCAGATTGGTGTACCAGCGCGAATTGTGGGGAAGCTACCTGCGTTCTGGACTCTGACTATGCGTGGGACCTCGCCAAGTGCGTGTGCAACGATGACCTTGTATTCGACAAAGACCACAGGACGTGTGTGGGTGAGTGCTGCTGTGTGGGTGAGTGCAGGAGTGTGGGTGAGTGCTGGAGTGTGGGTGAGTGCTGGAGTGTCGGTGAGTGCTGCTGTGTGGGTGAGTGTTGGAGTCTGGGTGAGTGGTGGGCGAGTGCTGGTGTGTGGGTGGGTGTGTGCGTGTTGGCGAGTGTGCGTGTGCAAGGATGGCCTTGTATTCGACAACGACCACAGGACGTGTGTGGGTGAGTGCTGCTGTGTGGGTGAGTGCAGGAGTGTGGGTGAGTGTAGGAGTGTGGGTGAGTGCAGGAGTGTGGGTGAGTGCAGGAGTGTGGGTGAGTGCAGGAGTGTGGGTGAGTGCAGGAGTGTGTGTGAGTGCAGGAGTGTGTGTGAGTGCAGGAGTGTGTGTGAGTGCAGGAGTGTATGTGGGTGACTGTACGATTGTAAGCAGAATTTATCTTCTTTTCACTCCCTATCCCTCCATTCCCTACTTTGGGTGAGTGTGCGTGTGTCGGTGAGTGTGCGTGTGCAGTTGAGTGTGCGTGTGCGGGCGAGTGTGCGTATGCGGGTGAGAGTGCGTGTGCAGGTGAGTGTGCGTGTGTGGGTGAGTGTGCGTGCGTGGGTGAGTGTGCGTGCGTGGGTGAGTGCGTTTGGTTTTGGGTGAGTGCGTGTGTGGGTGGGTGGGTCTACGTGCGTGGGTGATTGTGCGTCTGTGGGTCAGTCTGCGCATGTAGGTGAGTGTGCGTGTGTGGGTTAGCATGCGTGTGGTGGTGTGTGTGCGTCTAACCCCCTTGCCCTGCCCTGCATCACCTTGAAACCACTCATGACTCCCACTACAGAGCCCAAGTGTGACAGGGATTGCGGCCACGATGCTACCTGCATTGTGCTTGCTGATGGTACCTTTGGCTGCTCATGCGTCAACAAGGAATTTACCTTGTGTGAAGCTGACAAGACGTGCTTTGGTGAGTGCTGCGCTGCTCCGATGGGCTGTAACGATCCGTTACCTGAGACAGGCATGTATAAGCTGAGAGGCAATGGCTGAGAGGCGCCATTGAGGGGCATTCTAGTAGAACATTGGCTGGCTGCTGCTCTCATCTCCTCACTCCTCCCGCACCTTCCCCGCTGTCTTCCCCCTTCCTCTCCCTTCCCGTGTCCCGCCTCCAACTCCACACCTTCAAACCCCCATCACCAATCTTTACTGCACCGGCTACCATACGGCATCGTCGCCCCAACCATCGCATGAGTGGTCGCAACGGTCGCAACGGTCTCAATGGTCAACCATCGCATGAATGGTCGCAGGTCCGTTGCTGCAGACGGTGGTGCAGCTGCCCAAGTCCCGCGAGAAGCTCACCTTCCCCACCTCGGCGCCGCCACAGCAGCTCACTGGCACCACCACGTGCCGCAACGTGAGCGCCAGCATTGGAGGCAACGCCAAGGTCACGGTCATGTGGGATGCGAACCTAGGTGCGGCTGGCATCGGCATGTGCAAGAGGCTGACGTTCTACTCCAAGGCGGGCTGCAAGGGCCACCCGGGTTTGATGATCACACGCCCTGCAAAGAAAGGGCGCTCCTCCTACCCCGTCACGAAAAGGTGTGTGAGCGTGGTGTGCATCATGCACGCGATGCTCTGTGTGCGTGCGTGATGCATGCCAGTGTCGTGAGCGTGCGTGCTTCTTGCCCATGGAAAGGCGCTTTTTGCTCACGAGAGTCAGCTTGGCCATTGTAGGGTGTTGTCATTTGTCCTCATCGTTGGTCTTTCCCGTATTTACTTCTTCCCCCTCAGGTCTATCAATGCAACCGAGTCACTGCGATCAATTGGCTGCAAGATCAGTACGTGCACGCACGTTTCAGTTGGGATATTTTCATGCTGTCTGAACCGTTCTTTTTGAAAATTTACTGAAGGTATTGAAAACGCTAACATGTGTTTTGCTCATTGTTACTGCATGTGAGAGATACCGCAAAAGAGAGCCAGCCACGCCCCAGCCTCTTCAGCACACTCGACCTCCTCGAATCTCTCTGCATGCCTGTGTTGTTTGCCCCCCTGTGCTGCCCACAACAGCCACGTGTCACAAGGATTGTGGAGCTGCTGAGTGCGTTGTGAAGGAGGGCCAGCAGCAGTGCCAGTGCCCCAAGGGCCTCGTGTTCAACGCAGCCATGAAGCTCTGCCGTGCTGCTCCTCCTCGTAGGTGCCTTGCTGCTTGTTTCAGACCTCGCGAGGTAGTGCTTTATCTGAGTCAGGGTGTAGTCGTTGTGGTGCTTTTGTGTGATGCCAGCTCTGCACTGCTGTGCTGACCAATCGCAGCAGAGGTAACGTCTGGTGAGCAAGAGGTCAAGGGGCAAGCTAGTCTCGAGAGACTGTGCATTGCTTCGTGTGATTCGTGCCCTCATTTTTCCCGCCTGCTGCCCGCAACTCTGCCTCATGCCCTTTCCCCTCTCCCCCACCCCGCACCTCCGAGCGACGCCAGCAAAGTGCAAGCCTGCGTGCACTGAAA